TTTCCTCAGAAAACTGGCAGCATCTCCGATTCCCATCATCCCTGTAGCACAACTCCAGCTTTCGATGGCACAGAAGTTACTAAGTGCACATACTTACTGAGAGCGTCAAAAGGCAAATTACAAACTAAATTCCAGTATATATGACTTCACTGAAGGCTTTGTTCAGGAGTGAAAGACGGGAACACAGTGAGGTTCTGTGTGATACTTGCCTCAAGAAAGGTGTGGGAGGGTTGGCTTAACAACCACAATTCACTCAGACCCAACTGAGGAGTACGGTACCGAAACTACACAGAACGAGGAACATACAGGCGTGCTTTTAAACATCTACATATTGATGATGGATCAGAAAACGAAGCTGTGTATGAGTACAGCACACACACAAATCTTGAGTTTCACTCACTGGTCCAAGGCCCAGCAGCACACAGAGGCTTCATGAAGGACTGGGAAGTAGCATCTCAGAGACCTGAGAGACTGATCATCACACCTGGACTTCCTCTTTTAAAAGTAGATTTTATTTTCATTTGTGCGTATGTATGTCTGTCTGTGTGAGTATGTGCACATGCTTGTGCACTCCCAGGAGAGGTCAGCAGGTCTTTTGGGGCTAGAGTTACAGCAGTTTTGAGTGACCTGACGTCAATGCTGGGGCTCAAACTCTGCAACAGCAGCAAATGTTCTTAACCCTGAGCCATCTCTCCAGCCCTTCCGATATCCCCTGGTGGACCACACACCTTACACACTGCACACCTTAGACAGCACACACCTTGGACACAGCACACCTTAGACACAACACACCTTAACACATGACACACATTAGACAGCACAGTGCTCCTAACCAGCTGAACTATTTTATTCCCCGAACATCTCAGGAAAGCACTGTACTAGGTACTTTAAATTTTTTTTCATGACAAAATACTCTGAAGAAGACATAGTGCCCTTGCACAGAAGCCTAGAATTTAACTCTGAATGACAGTAAATGCCACATACCTGTCACTTAAGAGACCACTGGTTTGGGGAGACATCATTAATTAAACGTGCATTCAACTGTAAAACGCTTCCTGACTTCAAAACGTTAGAAAGTCTTAAATGTACACTTCAAGAAAACACAGTAACTACAAGGAAATGTAAAAGAGCCCGTTGGTAGGATTAAACACCACGCTGGATCATACTAGAACCTACCCCTCAGCCTAGCAAAAATGTGTAAGTCTAGAATAGCATCATGTTGAATGGCCAGTAACATTACAATGCCAAGTCAAAATCGAACTAATTTGAAATCAGTGTGATGCACAATTCATACTCATTGATGTACCAATATGAAAGAGGCAGCAATCAATTCAATGAAGATCTCAAAATTGGTACTTTATGGAACTGACTAGTAACTTTAATCAAAAGTGTCTACCTTTAATCAAAAGCATCACCTGACTGCGTATAACAATAGTGATGAGATATCTCAAGAGGCGAGGCCACGGTCAGCACAGGCTTTGAAGAGCAAACTGTTGTCAAACAAGGGGGAATGCATCAAAGATGTAACCTCTCCTCTTCATTCTAAGAGACAGAAGTTGATGCCACTGCCTGAATACCTAAACGTGCACATACTGCTCTGCACTACCTCCAAAGTGAGATGTTTTAAGGAAATATGTTTCGACAACAAATTATTAATTCCACAATTATAGCACATTTATTATAGCAATTATTAATCCTACAATTATAGCACATTTCATTTAGAAATTGAGTCCCTAAGTGGAAAGCACTTTACCTGAGTTTCTATAAAATGTATTTAATTACAGCATCTGCGATGTTCCAGGTTCACAACACACTAAGACCTCCGAGCTTTGCAGCTATTTCATCTTGTCAAAGTCTGCACCAAACAGAGGTGAAAAATGTCCCTGCAGACAGTAACTGGCACAGGGTCTAACTGGAAGCATCCTTTCCAAAGCGCTTACTATATGCAAAACACCACATCCAGAACACAGGGACACTCTCAGAGGGTACCATTATCACCTTCATTTTTCAAGAGGAAACTGAGGCAGCGGGACATGGTGAACCCCAGCACTTGGGACACTGAAGCAGGAGGCTATCAAGTGCAAAGCCAGCCTAGGCTGTAAGCTGAGTGAGACTCTATATCACCCTGTCCATGCCTCTCTCCTGAGAAAAGGTGAGTGTGGCTGTGAGATAGTGCACTGAGTTAAAGGCCAGAAAGACACGGGACCCAGGTTCCAAGCCCAATCCTGTCTCTTGAGTCCAAACTTTACTGGCAACTGGTTAGCTCATAGAATGGTACTATTTAGGAAAGAAGTCTTCATCTAAATAAAATCAATTATTCAGTTTTTTAAAGTATAAGTTAAAATTTTTATTTTGAAACTCCCTCTAACTTTAGGTTCTAGCTGAAACCCTAATGTCCAAGGAAAGCCTAACCATGCAATAAACTGGAGAACTCTAAGACAAGAAGGAGCTGAGTCGATAGGCCAGCTGTGCTAGGCACATGGATGGGGCCAGCTGTGCTAGGCACACGGATGGGGCCAGCTGTGCTAGGCACACGGATGGGGCCAGCTGTGCTAGGCGCACTGACAGAACAGACAGTGAACAGGGTGAATGGGGGGGGGGCTTCTTCTCATGAGTCTCAATTTTCCCCAAGTTCTTAGAGCCTTGATAACAAACTTTACTATCTTAAAATTGAACAAATCGACACGAAAGCAGCATTTTTACCTGTAAAACCCATACACAGCTTCACTGGCTGTTACCCGTAAATCACATGAAGACCTTATGAAGAAAAATCAGGATCACAACTTCAAACTCACATGTTCAGTAGAATGATTTTGCCTGTGAAGGGATTTTTCCTGCCTGTGGGAAAGGGGAAAAAGGTACCTCTTCCCTTCACCAGTGAACAGGACCACGTCGTAGAGTGTTGGTCAGGTGCGGCCCTGGACTCTGCATGCACGTCATCTCTATCCCCTGTCTGAAGAGGAAGAAAGCATCCTCCTCCTTCTGTATTTTAGTCATGAAATCACTACCAGTAGATATAGAGTGCACTTTCTAGAACACCATGGTAAAATGAAGGCTGGGACAACTCATCAACTGGAAAGCACCATATTCTCACATCAAAAAGTACACCCTCCTCACAGAAAGACTTTGCCTTGAGGTATTTCCTAGGGATGCTCCTGGAGCAAGGCACAGGCAGGCCCACTCCCCCATGACCTGAACAGCCTTCCTCCTCCCCTTTTCTGATATAGCTCTGGGAGCCTCCCAATCAGGGCTGAGTGCAAGTTCGCCCACCTAAATGGAACTCGGAAGGTATCTGAACAGCTCTTCCCCATCCACCCCAAGCCGTCTTTTACCTAAATGTCCTATTTTCTCCATTCCTGACCTTTCTTATCCTCCTACCCTAGCCCTGCCTTCCCACAGCAACTTATTCTGCTTTGTGGCCAAGGAGAAAAAAAAAAAAAAAGTCATCCCACTAAGCCCCTTGGATGGAACAGCCAAAAGAAACAGAACCCCTCCCCCACCCTAGCATGCTCCAACAGGGAAATGCAAAGACTTAATATCTGGGCTATCTGACTTTCCATAATTTTCTCCACCGAAGTCAGGGATCCACACAAGGAGAAATGGAACGCTCAGTCAGGCCTGTAGAGTGCAGCCCACACACTGCACCCAGGACCCTGTGACTACAGCCTAGGACATCTGTAGACCATAACGTCATGTCATAATGTCAAAAGGGCAGACGCCCTGTGTCCACTCTACTGGGATGGCTTGCCAACCAGTCACCATCACGCCAAGATCTCCCCCATGGGGCCTGCAGAGGTTCTTCCCAACCGTGTGGACAAGACTGAGCTAGCTCCGACACACAGCCTTTGGTTGAGGGGAAGGAAAGAGTTCCCCTAATTCCTATCTGCCAATAGCTTAGGAAGCCATCATTCAGCGTTCAGACAATATACCAAGTGTGAAGTTCCCACAGGAAGAAAGTTAAATTAACACCTACAGATGGCTGTTAGTCACACTTCTTATTTGCTATTTAAAAAAAAAGTATTAAAGTCAGAGTCTAAAATCACAAGACAGGTAAGAGTCGAACAAATTTAATTCGTCTTTCAAATTATTTTCCAAGAGTCAGTGTATAACGTAATGGTATCAAAATAGATTTCACCTAAGCCTGTTGGCATGCCAATCATCCTAAGAAGCAGTGATAGAGAATCATTCAGATACTTTCCAGATCTGTCCATCCTCTAGGGAAAACCCACATGGAGACTGATCCACGGCCTAATGTAATGAAATCAACATGTGTTTGTGGTTGACTCTAGCGTTTACCAACAGGGAGGGGCAGAAACCAAATTATCACTCAGTAATTATTTCAGTGGATCTCTGTGCTGTGCGTGCGTGCGTGCGTGCGTGCGTGCGTGCGTGCATGCAGAAGCCAGAGGTTAACATCAGGTGTCTGCTTTATGACTCTACCTTGTTTTGGCTTTGTTTTTAGATACGATTTCCACATTAAACCTGGAGCTCACTGACTTGGCAGGACTACGCCCACTCTCCCTCAGGGCCGGGGATACAGACATGTGCTGCCGCACCCACCTTTCACATGGATCCTACAGATCAAACACAGGTTTTCATGCTTGTGCAACCAACACTTTAATCATTGAGCAACCGCCCCAGCCCCGATTTCAGTAGAATCTTAATTCCTATTCTGTGTGTTGGTAATGAACAGGACAATGTCTTTATGGCTAGGTAACCATAAATCAAACACCATACTTTCATAATGTCCTGCCCACGCTTCCCTGACAAGACATTAATACATCAACACACTAATGATATGGATTTCATAACTTGGCAGGTCCCTTAACTTTAAAAAGTTCTCCACAATTAAAAGCATCTTTTAAAAAAAAAGAGCACCTTAAAGGGGAAAAAAAAATTCTATGAATTTTATGGCCTTCAGTCCAGAAAAACGACTAAGCACAAGAAAGGACTTAAGATGAGCACCTGACAGCACACTAAAGCAAGAGCGACTGCAGCACCTTTTCGCACTAGTTGACAGTTTGGCGGCCGTCTTGCTGGATATCTTCCCCTCCTTCTTCTTGGGCTGAACTTGCTCTCGTTCAGGTTCTGGCTGGACACTTTCACGCTGATCCCCATCGGAACTTCCCCCGCTTGTGCTCGGACTGTCGTCAACTCTCTGTGCCTCCGTGGACATTTTAGATCCTGGGTTAAAGAATCAAAAGTCATTTATTCAACTTTGAGAATAAAGACAATGCGATCCAGAACGGGGAGACAGCGAGTCAAGAAACAGAAGTAAAATTAGGTATAAAAATGAAAGCTGCTCATTTACAAAACAAACAGCTCTGGGGGGTTGCCAAAACTTTCCTTCCATCCATTCATGCAAAAGTTAGACACAATTTTGGTAGTAACTTTATTCAAAACAGACAAAAATGGATAGGATTCCAAAGTTGACTGATGAATGGCTAAGCACATGGGACGTCCACCTGAGATACTACTCAACCACAGAGAAGTCTAGTGTCTGCTTCAACAGGAGCCTCAAATCCTTATGTTAAGTGAGAGAAGCCAGCCGCAAACGACCACAGGCTGCACAGGCCCATTTACAAGAAATGTCCAGCTGGGCATAGTGGCACACACCTTTAATCCTTGGGAGGCAGAGGCAGGGGGATCTCTGAGTTCAGGGCCAGCCTGATCAACATAGTGAGTTCCAGGCCAGCTGGGGCTACAGGGAGACCCTGTCTCAAAAAGACCAGGAAAAAAAAAAAAGAGAGAGAGAGAAATGTCCAGACAGGGAGGCAAGCACACAGCAACATAGAGTCAGGGTAAAGGGAAGAGATTTCTAACAAGTAGGACATTTCCTGTGGGTGATAAAAATATTCTTAAATTAGATGGTGGTCGTCGTCTAACACAGAGCTTTTGTTTCATTTTGTTTAAGATGCTGAGTCCTGAGCCCAGGGCCTGGATCAGTAAGTTACAATCTCTAGGCCAAGCTGTGCCTTTCAATAGAATGAATTTGGAGCTGGGTGTAGCTTGGCGACAGAATGCAGATTCTGCATGGACACAGCCCAGAACTCAATCTCCAGCTCTGACGAAGGGAGAGAGGGTTAACTTTATAACACAAATTATATCTTGAAAGGGCTGCCATAAAGGGAACCAAAAGAAAACAGGAGGATTAAGAATCTAATTTCTACCAGGCATTCTGGTTAGCGCTTCGAACCCAGCTGAGACTAATCTGGACAGGTAAGCAGACCTGCAAAGTGTCCTAACAAGTCAGGCGAAGAGACACAGGGCGGACAGACCAGGGCATCGCCAGGCTCAGATCCAATCAATAAGTCCTCAGAGCTAAGCCAAGGTTAAAATCCTCTAAGCTAGGAAATTGTTTTAAGTAACCTTTGCAATAACAGAACAGAGGCCATGAGATTCTAAATAAAAACTGGACCTTAGGAGGGTGTGGGTACTGACCCAGATCCACTACGGAACCATGTTCCACAAGAGACGGAAGTCATGTTGAGATGCTCGAGAATCCATTTTTCCCAGGGTCTGGAGGAAAGCTCCCTCAAGTTTTGAAGATCCTTTGCTCTGAGTTCCTGCTCCCAGCAGAGTTCTGTCACCAACTCAATTTCAACCCCTTGACACCATGGAAACAGCAGGCAAAAAAACTCAGTAAGTGGAAAGGGTCCTCCCCTCTCCAATCCCATCCCATCAGAATCATCTGTATTTGTTCATCACTAAAATACATATGACCCAATGCTGACAGACCCAGAACTGGACTCACAAAACCGATGCTCAGAATCTACAGGGCCTTCTGTCTCTAGGAATCACACTGAGAACCACAGAGTTACAATTCAGGCACCTCTTTAAGAAACAAGGCTGCCTGTGACTAAAACCATCATCATCATCATCAACACACATGCACGTACTCGCGCACAGGAGATAAATTCCTTATGAAAAACCTAACTTTTCATTACTCTTAAATTAAGACTTCAAAATCAAACCACTGTACTATGATCAAGAATTAAGATTCATGCATACAAAAATAGAAACCTCACATAAGTACCCATGATTGTCTAGTTCAAAGTCATGATCTGCTAACTCTGAAGAACATTCATCATCATCCATCTGCTTGAAACCACGGTGGCTTTATAGTATAGACCTTTCATAAATGGGAATTTCATATGGCAAACTTTTTATAAAACAAATCTTTTGCACCACAAAGGGCCAGAAGGAGGAGGAAGCAGAAGAGACAAGCCTTGAGAGACATCACACACTCCACCACCACTCTGGTCCTGACAGCTCCTTTGCCCATGACAAACAAACGGTAAGTCTGCCCCAGCAGCTCTGCAGCACTCAAAGGGAATCAGGACTCCATTTCTACCTGCTCTGTAAACGGAGGGCATCAGTCTCCACTGCTATGACATCTTTTACGAGCAATAAAGTCACTTAATAGAACACTGAAATTTTATATCAGTATGTTTCATGTCTGGCTCTAAAAGTCCAAATATATTTCTTGATTTTTCTTCCCTTTTTATTTCGCCTTAAGTTATCATTCTTGAACTTAATATTGGGGTTTTTCTTCTGTCTTAGTTCTTTCAGTTAAAACATATCAAAAGTTAGAAACCCTGTAAATGTATACACAGCAGCAAGTTAGATAGCACAGGAAAGGAAAAGGATTCTCAGGGTTAGATGCTCATGGACTAATGCAGCTGGCAAAATTTTAAGACGTGTGAGGACTCATTTTATATATCTTAAACCCAAGGTGATCCATTATATGACAAACACACAGGAGCCTAGGCTAAATAAAGTTATCTTACCCTGAAGCTGCAGATTTAATAAACTAAGCCAAGTCACACCTGTGTGTCGAATCAGGCATAAAGCCACACGCTTGTCTAAGTATTATTACTTATGTGTATTTACACGCATCTAATAATCTGCATAAAAGTACCATATAATCACTGAAAAGACTGTATGGTAATGTAATATGGCATCATCTGAAACTGAAATTTCATCCACCACTGTAGAGTACGAGACTAAACTCTATAAAGGGCTAGGCATTGCAGCTAGTGGCAGAGCACCCCCTCAGAACATGTGTGAAGGTTCAGTCCCCAGCATGCCACAAAAGGTGCTTAAAATGCTCAAATATAAGCATAATTTGTATAGCTTCACATTTTTAAAAAATTTCTATTTTTTGGCAGGGCATGGTAGCAGACACCTTTAATCCCAGCACTGGGAGGCAGAGGCAGGTGGATCTCTGTGAGT